GGATGGGGGCGGGGCTGGTGAGGAACAGGAGAGCAGTGTGGCCATGCTGGGATTCAGTTCCTTTCACATCCCTGCAATTCTCTGTTACCTTAATAACAATAATAATACCATTTATTGGGCACTTACTGTGTGCCAGGCCCGGTGCAAAGTGCTTCTCCCAGCATTAGGCCAGTTAATGCTCACAACCACCCTTTGAAGCAGGTCCTGTCATCATCCCCACTTTATGGGCAAGAAAATGGGGGGGGGGTCTGAGAAGTCACTTTTCTCCAGAGCACTTATCGCAGTTTGCAATTACGTGTTTATTCCCATATTGTGTCATTCATCTCTATTTTCCCTGCTGGACTAAAAACTCAGAGAGAGGAGAGGTTTTGGTTTCTGTCCGGCACTATTCACTCGGCACACTCAGACATTCAATAGATAGCTATCAGTTGAATGAATTAATTAAACCCTATAATTTGCTCAAGCTCCCTCAGCTGTTGAGTGGCAGAGAGGCTAAAAACCCAGGCAGCAATCATGCTGTCCACCCTGCAGAGAGTCCCTGCACAGCACTGCCCTGCTCCCTGTCCCCAAATCCCAGGGGATGGGAGCAGAGATGCCTGGTACAGGGAAGGAGTACCCGGAGCTGCCAGACTCCAGATCAGCCTGAAGCACGGCCAACACTCAAATGCTTACCTCCCAAGCTCTCTCCTGCCCCTGCTGAACCCTCAAACCTTTAGCTTGAGCTTCTCAAATAACAATATCACCTAATTGAATCACAAAGCATTTTCACCTGCGTAGCATGAATGACTCCTGGCAAAGTCTTATGAGGTCTTAGGTGTCACTCTTCCCAGAGGCTGAGGGATGGGAGAACACCAGCCATGTGCCAAGCATGTCGCCAGGCCTTCTCCATGCATCCGGTCACTTAATCTTTACCATCAATCCACAAAGCTGTCATCATCCCCTTTTACAGATGGGGAAACTGGGTCTCAGAGAGGATGGAATGACAGCATTAGAGCCCCACTGCCAGTCACTGAGAGCCCAGCAATAAGCCCGGAGCACCTGCTACTGGAGACTAGAGTCCTACCAGGAGGCAAGTCCCTGTGCACAGTGTGTGTCAACTCTGCAGGAGACTACAGAGTCCTGCTCAGGGAGCCCAGGCCCCAGTGGTAGACATGGCTTCAACCTGGCCCCCTGATTCCTCTCACCATGGCCACCATCCAATCAGTGTTTGTAATTCCAAACAGGCTCCCAGACAATCAGCCTGGGGGTTCCCTGGGCAGTCTTCCTTGGGCATGACCACTCAGCCCCATTGAATGGGGCCTCCAGACTCAGGGGGCCGAGCCAGGAGAAAGCATGGGCCCTACAGGTCTCTGCAGCAGGCAGGGAGTTCGGGCAGTAGATAAACTGGCCAGAAAGCAAATGGACATAGCAACGGAGGCAGGAGGGAGGTCCCCATGGCCTGAAGAGCAGCAGAATGTGCTGTGCCTGAGGCGAAACCAGCAGGCCTTCCCAGGGCCCTGCCCTACCGCTCCATCCTAAGGCCTCTTCACCCTCTCTGCACCCGTAAGGGAATCTGTGGCACGCCTAGAATAAAAGGGCCTGGGGTGAAGCCTAGAAGCGGTGTCCACACTTGCTCTCCTATCACACTATCCTGAATCCTCTAGCCCAAAAGCTTTTTTAACTAAAAAAAAAACAAAAAACAAAAAAAAAAAACTGTAACTGGAAGTTAATGTCCTTGAGAAGAAGAAAAGACAATTAATAGTGGCCATGGCTGAGTCCCTCTGAGCCTGCACTCTGCAAAGAGACGAAGCTTCCAGGCCTCCTCCAGCATACCCCCAACCCTCACTTAGTATGTTAATTGTTTCATTGCAGTGAATTATTTAGCACCCCTTCCCTACCCGGCCCACCAGCCCCACAGCCCCTCTGGCTGAACCAACAGCTCTGAGGCCTGCACAGCCTCTTCCCAGAAGTTCCCACGGCAAACCAATGACAATTTCTTCCCACTTAAGGCGACAGATCTGGACCCAGAGTCATGGACTACATGATCATAAAGTTGCCAGGCCTCGCGAGCTGCTGTAGAAACTGCACAGGGAACCAAAGGCAGATACACATCTGCAATCTATAAAAATTTCACAGCTTCAGGAGAAGCTGCCGTTTGAGGCTCTGATACCGCACGATGCTCATATTGATTAGCAAGAGAGAGCATTTGCCACAGTTATTTTGAATCCACCTAGGCTCTCCCCAAGGTCTCTTCTCAGGGTGTGCTTTTCCTTCTCAGATGGCTCTTGCGTGGCCTGACTGTTGAAAAGGCAGGCTCCCTCTGCTTTCCACACCCTCTCCCAATCCGAGTAGTTTTGCACACAGCCAAGATCAGACCTTGCCCCACTCCCCCACAATAACTCACCCCTAGATTCCAACCCTGAAAGGAAAAATCTAGATAGAGAAAGGCCTACCTGACCCTTTCCAACCTTCCTAGCCTCAAGTCCCATCACATCCCACTGGACACAGCATATTTCAGCCCCAGGGCAAAGCTGGCCCATTCGCCCAGCAGGCCAGACACACACCTACAGGTCTTTTGCTCATTTGTTCCCTCTGTCTGACTACCTTCCTTCTCTGCTTGGCAAAATCCAGCCCAACCAATACTGGGTTCCAAAGTGCCCTGATAAAACGGCCTATCTGAGAAGCCCTTTCACCCCAGAAAAGGTCTCCTCACCCCAGTGTTCCCCCTGACAGCGTCATCACACTGCTGGCCTGGCCCTCTCCCAGGAGCTTACAGTTAGGTGTCCACTGCCCCGTCCTTTCGACTATACATCTCTTAAGGGCAGGGACTTGCTCACTCTCCCCTAGAGCTTCAGCACCCAGGGCAGTTCCTGGCTCTGTAAACATCTGCTGAATTAAATTACGAGAGTCTTGTCCTGATCCTATCATAATAATGGCTCTCACTTAGCGAGTATCATAATGTACCAGGCACTTACCACACTTTATCTTCAGTCCTCACAAGAGCCAGAGACTTTATGTATTAGCAGCCCCATTTTTCTGAGAAAGCAACTAAAGCTCAGAGAAGTTAAGTAACTTGCCCAAGGTCACACAGCAAATAACTGACAGAGCTGGGGCTCCAACCTAGGCAGTGGGAGTGTCAACTCCTTCCTCTGCACTAGGAAATGTAACACGTATCTCTTTTAATCACAAAAGAGCTCACGAGTTCATGAAAGTCAAAATAGACACTCTCCTCAATATTAAAGATAAAGAGAGAGCAAGGAATGAGATGACTTCAAGATTCAAATCCAAAAGCAAAGGAGAGGGGCTAATGTGTCTGAGACTAGGCTGCTACCAAGGTAACAGCTGCAAGGGAAATGCTCTGTGCACATGACCAAGGAACAGAGATGAGGTCCAGAGGAAACAGGTGTTGAGGGTGACCCTGCAACCTCAGGGTTCCTTTGGACAGATCTCTGACCCTCAGTTTTTCTCCAGGGCCACACAAGATAATATACAGGTGCCCCACGCAAACTCGGTTTAATCCAACCTCTTCCCATGCCAGCATCTTTTCCCAGCCCCACACATGCCCTCACACACACACTGATTCCCATCTAGATTGCATCTAGATTGCAAAAATTCTCTGAAACCTCCACGGGAATTTTTCATACTCAGCCAAGAAGAGTGTGGGGCAACGTGTGCTCACTAATTGTTGACCTTGGTATGGACTTTGATCCAGGAGACAGCTTCTCCCCAGGGTCAGGTTTCTGCCTCTGAACAGTGGGGAGCCATGAGAATGTGCTCAAAAGTTATTGAAATATGTACTCCTTCCCTGAGAGCCACTGCAGTTGCCCAGGAGTGTGAGGAGAAGGAGTCGGCAGGTTTCAAAGGAGCCAACAGCCTTCTCTAAAGTCCAGTTCAAAAATCCCCGGAGGCTATCACCTCTGCAAGCAGTACAAAGGCCCTGCGTGTGACCAAAATCTGTGTGCGCGCGCGCATGCGCGCGCACACACACACACACATATACTCACAGCCCATGTACTGGGGCTCTCACAGCCTCGCACTGAAGTGACACCACTACCCTAGGAATTCACACAGACACATATTCTGCAGGGAATCTGGGAAAACAAATTATATAGGTCTGTAAACACACACACACACACACACACACACACACACACACACATGCTAACCATCCACACACACACATCCTATAAAGCTCAGTGGGTCTAGAAAAGGCTGAGTTTCCTCAAGAATTTAGAAGTGAGGGACAGGGGAGGAGAAATGGTGTTTTTACGACTTGTCATGGTCAATGTCTTTAACCTCATGTCTCCCTCTCCAAGCTACTGATCTCTCAGCATTATTCATGGGGCTCTTGGTCCAGGTCACACATACCCCTCACTGGGTACTGAATGTAACATACCCCAAACCCCAAACCCAAATCCCTCACAACCCATTGTCTGTCGGTGATGGGGATGGCTGAAAGTGAGGTGGGGGACCAATGCCTGACACCTGCAAGGGAATTCTTAAAGCTCTGGGGCAAACAATGGAGAGGAAGCGGGAGACAAGAAACTTCCACTCCATCCCATCTTGCCACCCATCACAAGCCTGCAAACCCTCAAAGCCCACATCCACAAATCCTGTTCAGAACACAACCCAAGACCCATGTGTCCAAAAGGAGTCGTAGTTCCTGGCAAGCGTGAGGAGCTTCCCTCCTGGGTGCCAGGAAGGTTTTCTGGCACCAAGTCACAGGCACCCTGGAGGAATAAAGTGCTGGCGCAGTGGGAAGGGCCTGCCAGTGCCGAGCGCAGGGTGCAGGTGTGAGGGTGGGAGCCGACAGCCCCACCGAGGGCCCTTTGAATCCCGGGAAAGGAAAACAGTGGCGTTCCTGGCTCCTGGCTCGAGAAGGACCCTGGCAGGCAGTGACTCGTCTACTGGCTGCGGAGCCCCGTCCCAGCGGTCCAGCCCCCACCCACAGCTCTGACTTGCGTCTGGGTAGGAAGGCAACCTCGGGCTCCCTGCGGGCTAGGGATGGGGGCCATACTCACAGGCGCTCGGTGTTCCGTGGGATGTTCTTGGGTATGGCCTGCAGCCCCGTGCCGTGACAATCCACCGTGGTGCCGGTGCAGGTGCAGAGGGCGGGGCACGCCGTGGCACCCAGGCGCCACGCAGCTACCCAAAGCAGCAGCCAGAGCTCGGGCCGAATCAGCCCCGCGGAGGACCCCCTCTGGGGCGTCAGCGCCATGGTGCCCTCACCGCGTCCCTCTGGCGTGCCAGACGGCGGCAGCTGCTTACCATCCCCGTCAGGGGCGGCCTCCAGGTGCGGTCCCGGGGCAGAACCACCGAAGAGACTGCAGGCTGGTGCGCTGCGCCCTTGCGGGCTGGGAGGCACCTTGCACCGCCAAGCGACAGCGCCTGTGCGCAGACGGAGGGAGGACGCCTTGGGCGGAGGGCGCTCCTCTCCTCTCCGGTTTCTCGCTGGCTGCCTCTCCCTCCCTCCCTCCAGCTCCCAACTGACTGCTGTGAGGAGGAAAATGGGCAGGCGCCGCGCGCACACGCACCCCGCGCGCGCGCGCGCACACACACACACACACACACACACACACACACACACACAATCATACACTCACACCCGCACGCTCGCTCCCACCCGGCAGTCATCCATCAATCGAAAAGCACACATCCAGGGCCAGACTCCTCCCCGCCCTCCCCCACACACCCCTTCCCCGCCCCCGCCTCCAGACGACCACTTGGCGGCTGCTGCCAGCAGCGTCCAGTTTCAAAGGTGGAACCTACAAGGCGCTGAGAGCGGGCAGGGGGCTGCGGCGGAGGGGAGGTAGCCGAAGGTTCCACCTGCCGGTCCCGACGATCGCCGGCTACACACACACACACACACACACACACACACACACACACACACACACCCGAGGATGAGCACACTTAGATGCGCGCACCCGGCACCCGCAGCCCCAGCTGCTGGTCCAAGGGAGGAGGGGATCTTATTTTGCCGCCTAGACCCCTTCCCCTGGGACACAGACGTGCTTTCCCCGACAGCAGCAACTGCTCCCAGGCCCCATTAGACTTGCTTTCTCACTTTGTGATGAACGGAAGCCCTGCGCCCCAGGTGGCCACCTCGAAGCCACCTACCTTACTTAGCATGAGATCTTAAGGGCTAGGGGGTGAAGCACGGACAAGAGCCCTAGGCCAACTACAGTCTCCTCCCCTCCCTCAACACATTCTCCGCCAAGATGGCAGCAACCCCACTTCTCCAAGGGGACTGCGAAGCCAGCTGCACCCAGAATGAGAGTGGCCTTGATTTGGACATTGCACAGCGCAGAGATGTTACTTCTGCCCATCTGGCTATGTTGGCTCCCTAGGAGTTAGGGAGCAGGGTATCAGTGGGGTTTGAATTTCCAGCATACATCTTCCTCTGCACACACCAGCATTCCTCCATTTCTGACAGATGAAAACTAATATTCAGTCCTGTCTTCAAAGGACTGCAGACAGCGCTGGAAAAAGGCTGGACAGCCTGCTTGGGAGAGAAGGACCATGGGCCACCCATGTCAGACCCTAGACTTTGGGGGACTTTTCTCACTCTAAGGCAGGTGTGGAAATGGGTGTAAACAGGAAATCCAGGTGGGGAGAGAATTATCTTCAAGCCAGAAAAGGTAAGGACCTCCTCAATATCAAGGGCAGCTGTGGTTTGCTGGTGCTTCATAGGACCCAGACCTCTTTTGTCCATCAGTCAGGGCCCCTCATTCCAGGCTGCCAACAGCCTAGCAAGAAGAAACAGTTGAGCAGCTCAAGAAGAACCTCCCCTCATAGGAGTTGGCTTCCCTGGATTTCCCCTTGGGAGAAGCCAGAAAGAAAGGTGGCTGCTCCCAGAGGTGCCAGGGGTAAGCGCAGCTTGTCAGAAGTTAGTGGTATGATATTGATGGGCTCCACAAAATCAAAGCCTTATCATCCACCAAGTACAGGCTCAGGGTTTTTCTTTGTGTTTCTTTTCCATCTTGATGAAAATTTTGCAGTGCCTCTACTGTCACAGCACAGACAGAACTGTGGCCACTATGTTCTAATGAGGATTTTATGGGCGTTTTACAGTTCTTTTGAAAGTTTTCACACACTCCTGTCCGTGACCTCCATCCAGGGCCATCGGTCCTTGAGCATCAATTCAGTGACCACATGGTGGGAAAGAGACTTTCTCAGGGGTCCCAGTGAGGTGTGATCGTAGAGAACCTTCCCACAAATCAGGTCTGCAAAAGCGGGGAGAGGAGGCCTCTCTCCTACAAATTCCTACTCAGGGCACTCAGCCCCCCCTCCCCTTCCAGACCCTCCCCAGCTGCCTCAGGCGAGTGAAATCCTCACTCCTTTGAGCCTGCTGCTTTGTTTATCCCCTGTTAGCTGGGGCTCTGTTTACACATGTGGCTCCTTCCCTGACACCCCTCCTGGGTCAGAGGCTGCCCCCACCCCGTGGCTTTCTCACTTTCTCACTTTGGCACTTAACCCAGCATCTGGCACTTAGTAGGCCTGTCAGAGACAGCACTCAGGCTCCAACCTTCTGCTCCAGTGGTGCCTCCTGGCCCCATGACCTCACAGGTTTCCCCAAAGCCAGGACCCATGTGGGGAAGAGGGGGAGTGTTGATTAACCAGGCATCATGCCCTGGGGGCTTCGAGAGGCAGGGTGAAGGGATGGGGGGAGGGGTGAGAGTGGGCAGGGGGCGGCACAATCAGCCCTTCCTGTGGCTCCTGAGAGCCAGCGCCATCTTAGAAGCTTCCAGACTAGCTGGACAGTGAATCCCAAGCAGGCCTTGAGTCAAGTTGTTACCGCCTGGCAAGGCCTGGCCTTTAAAGTGGGGAAGGAAGGGGGGCTCCCTCAGACCCAGGACAAAGACCCCCCACACACGCCAGCCCATCACAGGAGGCCCTGCCCCAGCAGCCAGGCAGCTCCCCAACTTGGCTCCCATCCCCAGTTCCTCCACCCCAGAACCTGGCCCACTCCCCAGTTCGGGAGGCAGCTCGCCATGAATGAACGCAGCTCATTAGCGTTCCCAGCACATTTACTCGTTAAACAACCGCCTGGCCAGCCACACACCCCAACCCCCCTTTGCTTGTTCAATTTCCTCTCTCATGCCCTGCCCTCTGGTGGGTCTCCCTACCCCTGCCCTACAGTTGGGCCACCTGCTCCCTCTGCACTGGTGGGGAGGAGGCAGGCCTGTCACACTGCTTCTGCCAGGAATGCTCCGCCAAGCCCCACCCTGCCCACTAGCCACCAGCAGGCAGCCCCACCCCCTCCCGCCAAGGGAAACTTGGGGCTGGGTCTCCCCATTCAGTGGTATGAGCCTCCTCCGAATCCCCTCAGCCATACATGCACAGGAGCTGAGGACCACCTCCTGCCTGTGACTTGGGGAAACAGCCCGCCCTCTGTTCAGCTCTCTGCTCAGGGTCCTTTCCTTCACCTCCACCAGCCCCTTCTGAAGCACCCAGGAGGTAGAGAGCCAGCGAGAGGCTGCAAAGCACTATAGTTTAGATTTCCAAACTGCAAAAGGCAAGAAGGAGACAAAATGCCTGCTATCTGAGCATTTGTTAAACACCATTTGTCGAGTCTTCATGTACTATGTACGCTGTACTAGGACTCAGCAACTCAACAGGGAATAAAAACGGACCTGGCCCACAGTGAGCTCACAGTCCAGCAGGGGAACAGAAAAAGTAAAGCCCACTCAACGCAATTAGTTTGTTAACAGGGAGTGTGGAATTGTAGAGAAGCCAGAGTGTGGGGCTTAGGGAAGGGCTGGAAGGCTTCCTGGAAGAGGAAGCACTTGAGCTGCATCTTGAAGGATAAATAGGTATTGACTGGGTAGCAAAACAGGAAGAAAGGCTTTCTGAGCAAAGAGAACTGTGTGAGGTAGGGCACACAGATCACAGCAGTCCTCAGTGGCTGAGCTTCTGCAAGTTCAGCAAGGCTGGGGTGTGGCAGGTGTTCAGGTGTGCAGCGTGGGCGCAGGTCAGAGAGGTGATGGGGGCGCATCCCAGAGGCCCTGGTGCAGCTGTTCTCTGATTTTATCGGGCTTGTGGAATCCCCTGGCTTGTGTCTGTACTTGTGCCAAGCACATGCCTATATGTGTATATGCTTACAATGCACTGTCCCCAGAACCAACGACAGTGTGGTTTCCAGGGAAGGGACAGGGTGGTAGCAAGGGGACAGTTTCAGCATATGCTTTTTTTTTCCCCCCCTACTGTTTGGATTTCTTTACCTGTGTAGTCCATGTAGTCTGTATAGGTTGCCGGTGTAGTACCTAACCTCCCATCACCACTAATACATTTTTTTAAATCCCCTGGGGTGCTTATTATAAATGCCAATTCCTAGGACTTACCCAAGACCTTCTTAATCAGAATTGTCACTGTTAGCAAGTTGCAGGGGATGGTGGGGGGTGAGGCAGTGTGATACTGATGCCAGTGATTCCAGAGACCATGCTCTAAGAATCAAGGCTTGGTGTCCTGAGTTAATGAGTTTGAACTTGGACCTGAAAACTCTGGGAGGCCATTGAAGGAAGGGGCCTGGCAGGGACAAAGGGTCCGAGGCCTGCCTGCCTCACTCCTCTTCAGTTTCCACATGCTGTGAGCAAGGATGAGACACATCAAAGAGAAAGATAACCACGGGAGTGGAGAGGGAGGACTGAAGGGAGACTGGAGGGGAGGGGACAGAGCCATGTGACGCTGGCCTATAGCAGCTTCAATCACAAGATTCAGAGTAGGATGGGGATTAAGAAGTGATTGACACTTTGTGAGGGGTAAAAAGTATAACTATTGCACTGTTTTGTACACCTGAAACTAATAAAACAAAGAAGTGATTGAATCCAAATACAGTAATATCTTGGTTTGCGAGCATAATTCGTTCTAGAAACAAACTACTCATATTGCAAGGCACCGCTCATTTACCACGTTAAAATGTATTGGAAACGTTTGCTCGTCTTGCGGAACACTCACAAACCACATTACTTGCGATCCAAGGTGTTACTGTACCTCTGAACAGTTGATGACCCACAGAAGTGAAGCAGCCAGCCCAACTACACGTGACAAAGGAGTTGCAGAGGTGAGCCGTGAATGAGTCCGGATCTTGCTTCACTAGGCCACACACCTAGCAGAACACAGTATTCAATCCACCGTGGTCCTACCACCCCCACGAGGACTGAGAAGCCAGGAGTCCCTGGGAGGTCATGCCAGAAAGACTTAGGGTACGTTAGCATTCATCTCTAAACCCCTAGATGTCCTCGTATTTGAAGAAGGCTAGACCACTTGAGGCTCTCAACAACAAAGCCTGAAGCTGAGACAAGCTCCTCAACTTAGGATCAAATGACTTTTATGGAGACCACCAGATGCAACCAGGGCAACTCTGGCTGATGAAAAGCACTGGGAGCGAGAGAGATGCAAAGAGCAAAAGGAAGAAAGGAGATAAAAGGGAGAAGGCAGGGTGAGAGCTGGTCCGTGCAGGTA